ATTTCATTTGTTAAAAAGAAGTGGCTTCTGTTTAGCTGGTCATGTCTAATCATGTAGTTAAGCACTACAGATGCATTTCTTAACTTTTAAATCCTTGACTTAAGATTCTTTTCAATAGTTTTTAACATCAAATATCAATTAAGTAGTTGACACACTTTTTTTATCCTGCAAGGGCTCTAGACAAATGGGTAATTTTATAGTGCCACGGTAAAAATCTGTTAGAACTTAATTGCATATACAAAATATCAGGCAGTTTTAACAACTGGAGTGAAGTGAGTCCCTTGATTTTGGGACTATAATGTTACAGAGTTTATCTGTTACAGTTATCGATCCTGTCTGTTGCTTCAGTTGCCACAAACTGAAACACTTGGAATACATCTTAAGGAATAGAAGGTAACAGTGATGAGCTTAATACATAGCATTTGTTACTTTTGCAGAAATAAATATTAGCTACAACACTTTCCAGATAGTCTGTGTTTCTCATCTCCCAGTAATGAACTGTGGCAGGCTTCTATTTTGAGTTCTTCTCTGATGATACTGCTGCTTCTGAGGACTGGGACACCATCTATTTATCCTTAGAGCAGTGTTTTTCTAAAGTGCTGAGTCCTGGCATAAACCTTCTCCCAGTGAAGTCAGTGAGAAGACTTTCATTTATTTCCAGTCCTCCTTGTTTTGAAAATCCAACTTTTTAATGTACCTTCTATACTGTTTTGTTGGGGGGTTTTGTGGTGTTTGGTTTTTTTTGTTTTTGTTTTTTGAAGACTACACAAATTTTTAGAAATAAAAACAAAAGGATGGGATGACTGGAGTTAATGACTTTTATGAAAATATTTTTACTTAGTATTTTACTACTATGATCATAACTGCAGGAATGACTTACAGGTAATTGCAGGTAGATGTAAAGGAGTGAAGTCTTTGAAATGTGAAGAAAATAATATTAATGACTTAGAAATGGATCAAAGTCAGAATTGCAAATCCCTATTTTTGGGCATTTTCATTGCTGAGAATAGTTATCAAAACCCCAATTTAACAACCAAAGAATTGTTTAGAAGATAATTGAGGTAATAGTGAACTGCTAAAAGAAAAACACAGTTCAGTGTACAGATCAAATAGCATTTGAAACATGTTCAGAATATCTTTGCTTATTTCTTTTCTAAGTATGAGTAAGTAGTAAAATAACATGAACATTTGGCAGTGCTTCCCTTACAAATCTATGTACTAATACTGATTTTTGAGGATACAAAACTATGTGTCTCATTGCATGAGGTTAAAAAAGGAGGAGTTTGTCCTGCAGTTCTTATTCAGCTCAAGGTTCTCTTGATTTCACTGTGAGTTTCTCTTGTGTTGAAATTCCAGTTAACCTGTCTTGGAAGGCAAATGCACAGATACTGGCACTTTGAAAAGTTGTTATGTTAAAAAAAGAAATGTGAAAAATGAACAAAACTGGCCACAGTCCTTTAGCATAAGAAAAGAAACTGGCCACTTGTATATGCTCATATCTTCAAAGCTGTGTTTACTGAAGGGTGAAAGTTCATATTACAGTGAGCTGCTGATCTCCTTCCAAACATAGCTGGAGTGTATTAAGAACAGGCCCAACTAGCAAGAACAGATTTTTTTAAAAATTTTTTTTTTTATTTTCCAGATTGAAAGAAATGAGTAGGATTTATAATTGCAATTGGCTGGAAGTGCCATGGGGAGATGGAGATTTAGGTATTGTATGATACTTTGTAATTTTTTTTTTAACTTCGCCTGTTAATACAGCGAATATATTTATTCTTTCCTGTTAGTGTTTACAAAGCAATGTAGGCTGCCCTTCCTGGTAAACTATACACCAGAGAACTTGGAACTAACGTGGCTTCTAAATATAGTTAGAGATACTTTGTATTCAGCATCTGTCAGAGACGACATCAGTAGGGAATTAATGCATTAACAGTTTTGGAATAGACTATGTTTGCTAATACTGCTGTTACAGACAACAACGAATGAAAAAATGTCCTTGTTTATATTCTTGTTAATGCTTTCTAAGACATAGCAAGTTTGTAGATTAGCAGAAGGCAGCAATCTAGGCAAAGAATTTATTTTAAGACACCTTTGATGTTTATTTATGATACCTATTTATTTTGAACATATTCTTGTCCCTGTGGTATTTAATGATGAATTACTATGTGTATTGATAAATCAGTTGGAATGTGAAAGTTTTTTCCCAAACTTGGTTTGCACTAAATTTTTCTGCAGCATTTTGCTTATAGATTTTATTTCTAGTAGAGATGATACAAGCATTTTGTATTTAATGGATTTAGCAGAAACAGCTAGCTGCTGGATGTCCCTGTGTGAAGACAGGGCTATAAGGTGGGTCTAGGTGCAAAACAGAGTTCACAATGGGATCTGGCATCATTTCATTCTCAAATGCCACTGAAGTAATGACATTAACAGACATTCTTCTGAGCAATCCAA